ACAAGTCATCAGGTTTAAACTTATTCAATAAAATCTTGCAGTGCTATGACAAATATCTTAAAGCTGATTTCAAAGAGGCCGCAGCAGAAGCAGGTCATCCTGAGTGGGAGCTGCCAGATAATGCTGGAAAACCGAACGATATACCCGAATCCACAGAATTTTTCAAATCAAATGGAACTTATCAAACGGAGAAAGGCCGTTTTTTTCTGACATGGTATTCCAACAAGTTGTTGACCCATGGTGATGATATCTTGGATGAAGCCAACAAAGTATTCCTTGGTTACAGAGTGAAATTAGCAGCAAAAGTAAATTCTTTGAATGAATATAGTAGATGAGCATGTTTGTTTTTTTGCATGAATTACCTTATATTTTCATATGAAACAGGTTGCCGGAATCCACTGGTGGTATAAAACAGAAAGCCATGCTGCAGAGCTTACTGCGGGATATTACAACTTATGTCATAGGGATGGATACAGACCCATAGCAAGGATGCTTTCCCGACATAATGCTATTTTAAATTTTACTTGTCTTGAGATGAAAAATGTTGAGCAACCAGTTGAAGCCCAAAGTGGAGCCGAGGAACTTGTCAAGCAGGTAATTTCTTACTATTTGTTATTGACATTAATTACTAGTTGCTTACTGTTTGTTATTGACATTAATTACTAATTTGTTACTATTAATTAATCAAATATACTAGTTGCTTACTATTTGTTATTGACATTAATTACGTTTTTTAAATTTTTTATCTGATAAATAATGAAGTTTGACAGATATTAGGTTGGCATATATGTTAATACAGTTTTAAATAATGGATGTTTAACCCTGGAACTGCAAGAAAATTTAACAAGATCGAATAGGAAGCCATTAGGATAATTTCCTTGATGAACATTTCCCTTTCATTCTCTTTTTACGCGATAATCGATCAAACCACTCTAAAGCTTTCTGAAACTTCACATTCAGGTTTTAAGAAACTGCAAAAATTTCCATCTTTACCTTTCTCCTTCCTGAAAAACTTTTGTTTGCTAAAAGATGTAAGTCCTCACGTAGCCCTTCTGACATGATCCCTTTCAAGCTACTCCTGATAACCTTTTTTTTTTCAAGTGGCAAGTATATCAAATTGTTCAAGTAATAAAGAGTAAGTTATAGACTTGTTTAACACATGATACTTCTTCTTTTTATAACTCAATTAGATATCAAAATGCATAAAATAAAAACTCTTTTTGATATTTTATCAAACAGTTGGTGTGCAATATTTCATTATTTCATTCAAACATTCACGTCAAGGCATACTAGTTATAATTCCTTAGCAATTAGCTATAAATTAATATATCAAACTACTAATTCTTTAATCAATTTGACATACAATTTGTATTAAGTCTGATGTTAAGAATGACCAAGTTATTGAGTCTATCTCTAGATCCCAAATCACTTAGGTGGTCTATCTATGTCTATGTTAAGAGTTACTTTTCAATTATTAGAGACATTCAAATAACATTATATTTCCATATAATGATAGTAAATTCAAGAAAGAACATATGAACGAACAACTATATATTGAATAGGAAAATTTAACTACTCCTAGCCATTAGAACGTACGCATTTGAGACAATCCCTTATAACAAAGGTGTCTTGATGCCTTAAAATAGTCTCTTGAAGTTCATGAGATGTTTTTGTTTCTTTCCTTTTGGGAACTTCTCTCCTGCTTCTTTTCCTATTTATCTTGAACTTAAAAGTCAATTTTGATTTTTTAATTTAATTAATCCGCTTAGCAAACAGCTATCATGCGCTCAGCGAATAATCAACTACATATTCTTTAACTGTCTATAATTCGCTCAACGAATTCTTTTGGTACGTTGAACGAATAATAATCTTTTCAGCTGAGCGATTAAAAGCTGGCTTAGCGAGAAATATTTGATAACATTCCACTTATGTATAATTTCCTGTACAATTACCTAAACAACTTTTCTACTTCTTATAACAACTTTTCAATAAGAAAAACACCTTCTTTCATGAATAATTACAAATTTGAATTAATTAATAAGTCTAAAAACATGTATTTTTCATCCTTATCAACTGAATGGCATGAGAATCAGCCTCAGCGGGATAAGCCTAGCACTTGAGGCCAACTAATAATATTGAGTAAATATTCGTGGCTCTATTCAATATCAAGCTTTGTGCTCGCAAATTAAAGAATATCTAATAATAATAATATATTTAATTTAAATGCTAGCTAAAGATTACTCCATGACCCACATAGAAATAGTTTCATAATACAATATGTCTTCTCATTGTTCCATATAGTATTGCTTGCAACATAGGACATGAATTCTTATTATGAAATATCATAGAGAAATTACTAATGCATATGTTTTCTTTTAATTAACCATTTTATAATCTTTTCGTGCATAGTTTTATTCAGTGCGTTCATTCTCCTGCAGGTTCTTAGTGGCGGCTGGGCGGAGAAGATTGAAGTTGCAGGAGAAAATGCACTCGCAAGATATGACCGTGAAGCTTATGACCAAATCCTTTCAAATACTAGACCGAACGGTATTGCCAAATTTGGCCATCCAGCACGAAAAATGTATGGCGTGACGTACCTCCGTTTATCAGACAAGTTAATGAAGCAAAGAAACTTTGACATATTCAAAGCCTTCGTGAAAAAGATGCATGCAAACCTGGTAAGCAGCACCATTGCATTCGATGAACGATGGCAACAGTACTTATATAATCATAAGACTCTTTTATTGTAAAAAATTTACAGGATTACTGTTCGGACCCGGAGAGGTACTATCATTTCACAGAACCTATGGAGCGATCAAAGCCAAGGATTCCATTAGAGATTCTTCTGGAAGCAACCGAACCATTGGAGCCTTATCCATGGTTAAAGGAAACGGATGTAACCCGTGGTGTGCTTGTTGGTTTTCTTAATTACATACTTGCTACTGTTTTACGCATACTCAGAATAAAAGTAAACAAGAAAGGGAATGTAAAAGAATGATGGAATTGAAGAATAACAGAAAAAAAAAAATGGAAAGGATGAAAGGAACGGCTAGATATGAAAAATTGATTGTTTTCTTCTAACCTTGTTCATTTTGTCTTTGGAAACGGTGACATTGTGGAAGAAGTAAAGCTTTCATGATAATAAATAGGTTAAACCACTTCCGGTCCCTTTTTGTTGGATTTTGTCAAGTAAGTATTTTTTTTTTTTTTTTGAGTTCTTAAAAAGCGAAAAATTGAAACAATTAGTTACTTGCTGCTAAATTGGATTAATAGAGTTAACTTTCTCATGAGCTATAATATAACATGAAATATTTTAAATATGTGGCATATTAGATTATGTGGCATATGCAAAGTAGATTATATGGAATATATGATTAAAAAATATATCCTATTGTCGCAAGACTATCGTTTCTCGCACAATAAAGTAGCGCCTCCAACAATTGCAACCGTCGTTGACGAGAAAATTAGAGGAGGATCTTCCTGGGAAAGTTGAGATTTTCCGAGAGGAGAAAACCCGCGATTGAGCCCAGCCTGTATTGGACAGTGTAAGCAAGGCATGTGAGTGAACAGTTGGCGGTTACAGTGTTTTCTCAGCGCGATTCAACGTTGGCACCAAAAGGCCATGCGCATTTGGGGTTGGTGCAACCCACTAAGTTGGAGGAAGAAAAGTTCTTGGAGATGAAAGATTTGGGTGCATTGTGGAAGGAGTTGCAATTTGAGCAGAGGTGGTGGGAGGAGCATGGAAGCCAGATGAGGGTGCTTCCGGTGTCGAGAATAAAGGAGAATTTTGTGGTGGGGTTCCTAAATTGAGGTCGATGAGTATCCTTCGTATCTTTTGGGGTGGATATGGGGTTTTGAGTGGGTTGGTGATTTTTTAGGTGGTGGGCTCTTGTGATGGAAGTTGAAACAGCGAGTTTAAGGGTGTGGAATGATTGCGAAGAAGGGTGGTTCTAAGTCGTGCAAGAGTCAGGATTGCAAACTCCTTGCATCACGTAGTGAGAGCTTTAGTGCGTTTGTTTCTCCTTCTTCACAAATTCACCATCCTACAAACCCAGAAACATCACAAAACACACAAATAAAAATCTATTGTGAGTTCATTTCTCTCCCGCAAATAGAAACATGAGAAAACTCTCAATCTCGAAGGAAAGGCCCTGAGAGACATTGGATTCCACCCCATGAACCCTAATTTCGTGATGAACTTCGCTAGGGTTGAAGATGAATTTCGTAATGAGCCCTGAGCATTAATCGTTAGGGTTGAAGATGATGAAATGTAAGGTTGAAGATAATGAAAAGTAAAGTTGAACATGATGAACCCTAGTTTGGGTTTCAATTCTCAAAAACTTTTTTTTTTATTTTTTAATTATATATTTCACGAAATCTCTTCTGAATGTGTCATGTCATAAAATTATTCCACATATTACACTGAAAACTCATGAGCAAGTTAATCCTGTTAACCCAAGTTAACGGTAAGGAGCCAATTGCTTGAATTTTTCAGTTTAAGGGTCTCAATTGGAAAAAAAATAAGAATAGACCTATTTGAGAAAACCCAACAGAAATAAGGACCGCAAAAATGGTTTAACTTAATAATACTAATCCAAAGCAATAACTTATAATTTTTTAAAATTGTTATACATGATAATTGCCTAGATGTCAAGTAAGACTATTGCATAACATTATCATCTTTTAGTAAAGATGCATTAACACTACCTTTTATTTGTTCACATGATTATCACAAAAGAAAAAAAAAACATAAAAGAAATAACAGGATAAACTAGTGTGAAAAAAAATTATTTCATAAAGTAAATAATTGTAATAATATATATATATATATATATATATATATATATATATATATATATATATATNAATAAAATCTTGCAGTGCTATGACAAATATCTTAAAGCTGATTTCAAAGAGGCCGCAGCAGAAGCAGGTCATCCTGAGTGGGAGCTGCCAGATAATGCTGGAAAACCGAACGATATACCCGAATCCACAGAATTTTTCAAATCAAATGGAACTTATCAAACGGAGAAAGGCCGTTTTTTTCTGACATGGTATTCCAACAAGTTGTTGACCCATGGTGATGATATCTTGGATGAAGCCAACAAAGTATTCCTTGGTTACAGAGTGAAATTAGCAGCAAAAGTAAATTCTTTGAATGAATATAGTAGATGAGCATGTTTGTTTTTTTGCATGAATTACCTTATATTTTCATATGAAACAGGTTGCCGGAATCCACTGGTGGTATAAAACAGAAAGCCATGCTGCAGAGCTTACTGCGGGATATTACAACTTATGTCATAGGGATGGATACAGACCCATAGCAAGGATGCTTTCCCGACATAATGCTATTTTAAATTTTACTTGTCTTGAGATGAAAAATGTTGAGCAACCAGTTGAAGCCCAAAGTGGAGCCGAGGAACTTGTCAAGCAGGTAATTTCTTACTATTTGTTATTGACATTAATTACTAGTTGCTTACTGTTTGTTATTGACATTAATTACTAATTTGTTACTATTAATTAATCAAATATACTAGTTGCTTACTATTTGTTATTGACATTAATTACGTTTTTTAAATTTTTTATCTGATAAATAATGAAGTTTGACAGATATTAGGTTGGCATATATGTTAATACAGTTTTAAATAATGGATGTTTAACCCTGGAACTGCAAGAAAATTTAACAAGATCGAATAGGAAGCCATTAGGATAATTTCCTTGATGAACATTTCCCTTTCATTCTCTTTTTACGCGATAATCGATCAAACCACTCTAAAGCTTTCTGAAACTTCACATTCAGGTTTTAAGAAACTGCAAAAATTTCCATCTTTACCTTTCTCCTTCCTGAAAAACTTTTGTTTGCTAAAAGATGTAAGTCCTCACGTAGCCCTTCTGACATGATCCCTTTCAAGCTACTCCTGATAACCTTTTTTTTTTCAAGTGGCAAGTATATCAAATTGTTCAAGTAATAAAGAGTAAGTTATAGACTTGTTTAACACATGATACTTCTTCTTTTTATAACTCAATTAGATATCAAAATGCATAAAATAAAAACTCTTTTTGATATTTTATCAAACAGTTGGTGTGCAATATTTCATTATTTCATTCAAACATTCACGTCAAGGCATACTAGTTATAATTCCTTAGCAATTAGCTATAAATTAATATATCAAACTACTAATTCTTTAATCAATTTGACATACAATTTGTATTAAGTCTGATGTTAAGAATGACCAAGTTATTGAGTCTATCCCTAGATCCCAAATCACTTAGGTGGTCTATCTATGTCTATGTTAAGAGTTACTTTTCAATAATTAGAGACATTCAAATAACATTATATTTCCATATAATGATAGTAAATTCAAGAAAGAACATATGAACGAACAACTATATATTGAATAGGAAAATTTAACTACTCCTAGCCATTAGAACGTACGCATTTGAGACAATCCCTTATAACAAAGGTGTCTTGATGCCTTAAAATAGTCTCTTGAAGTTCATGAGATGTTTTTGTTTCTTTCCTTTTGGGAACTTCTCTCCTGCTTCTTTTCCTATTTATCTTGAACTTAAAAGTCAATTTTGATTTTTTAATTTAATTAATCCGCTTAGCAAACAGCTATCATGCGCTCAGCGAATAATCAACTACATATTCTTTAACTGTCTATAATTCGCTCAACGAATTCTTTTGGTACGTTGAACGAATAATAATCTTTTCAGCTGAGCGATTAAAAGCTGGCTTAGCGAGAAATATTTGATAACATTCCACTTATGTATAATTTCCTGTACAATTACCTAAACAACTTTTCTACTTCTTATAACAACTTTTCAATAAGAAAAACACCTTCTTTCATGAATAATTACAAATTTGAATTAATTAATAAGTCTAAAAACATGTATTTTTCATCCTTATCAACTGAATGGCATGAGAATCAGCCTCAGCGGGATAAGCCTAGCACTTGAGGCCAACTAATAATATTGAGTAAATATTCGTGGCTCTATTCAATATCAAGCTTTGTGCTCGCAAATTAAAGAATATCTAATAATAATAATATATTTAATTTAAATGCTAGCTAAAGATTACTCCATGACCCACATAGAAATAGTTTCATAATACAATATGTCTTCTCATTGTTCCATATAGTATTGCTTGCAACATAGGACATGAATTCTTATTATGAAATATCATAGAGAAATTACTAATGCATATGTTTTCTTTTAATTAACCATTTTATAATCTTTTCGTGCATAGTTTTATTCAGTGCGTTCATTCTCCTGCAGGTTCTTAGTGGCGGCTGGGCGGAGAAGATTGAAGTTGCAGGAGAAAATGCACTCGCAAGATATGACCCTGAAGCTTATGACCAAATCCTTTCAAATACTAGACCGAACGGTATTGCCAAATTTGGCCATCCAGCACGAAAAATGTATGGCGTGACGTACCTCCGTTTATCAGACAAGTTAATGAAGCAAAGAAACTTTGACATATTCAAAGCCTTCGTGAAAAAGATGCATGCAAACCTGGTAAGCAGCACCATTGCATTCGATGAACGATGGCAACAGTACTTATATAATCATAAGACTCTTTTATTGTAAAAAATTTACAGGATTACTGTTCGGACCCGGAGAGGTACTATCATTTCACAGAACCTATGGAGCGATCAAAGCCAAGGATTCCATTAGAGATTCTTCTGGAAGCAACCGAACCATTGGAGCCTTATCCATGGTTAAAGGAAACGGATGTAACCCGACGTGTGCTTGTTGGTTTTCTTCATTACATACTTGCTACTGTTTTACGCATACTCAGAATAAAAGTAAACTAGAAAGGAAATGTAAAAGAATGATGGAATTGAGGAATAACAGAAGAAAAAAAAATGGGAAGGATGAAAAGAGCAGCAAGATTTGAAAAATTTACTTTTTTCTTCTAACCTTGTTTATTTTGTCTTTAGAAACAGGGGCCTCGTGGGAGAAGTAAACTTCTATAATAATAAGCAATAATTACACTTGTCAAAATGTAGTTGATGTTTAATAATGTCCTAATTGTTTCAAAGTT